ACCAGAATGATTGACAGTTAGGAGGACCAAAGAACATCCACCACTATAACTTTAACTGAACAAGATACTTTGAAACGTTCAGAGTATTAAGAGGCTGAGTTTCCAACCTTTCCAGATAGATAAGGTGAATTTCACATCTAAGTATCGGCTGATCTCGATACATCAAACATGAGGATATTTGGGCCAATTGATCGGCCAGCTGATCATTTTCTGAACCATTTTCATGAACCTCTTTAACCTGCCCATGATGGATCAGAGGAAAAGAAGGCGAGATGATTTGATAAAGAGCAGGCAGGATTAGTTGTGGCCAAAATAACCTTATTAGTGGTTTAATGTTCGATTCCAATCCTATAAAGAAGACACTTTTACATTCAGAGGAAGCGAGCAGTTACATGATTGAAGATGATGGACGGAGAGCAATTGGACCTTCCTGAAGGAAGAATGTGAGCCTCTAAGTGGAGAAACGACAAAAAAATAGCATTCAGTTTCCGTGCCAACACTGCTTTTAAAGTGATTTTATGCAACTGAACGTCTAAAATATGTCTAGATGATTCTCTTAGAGAAAGATTATATCAAGAGAAACAGGAGTTTTTATGTTAACATAACCTTTCTCTTTTAAAATCTAAAGGAAATTTAACTGCTGATAGTTTTGTATTTTTCTGGAATTAACATCATATCCCTTTTTTCTTACAGGGACGGCGCTTAAGCTGGACTCCACCCCCTGCAGCAGCTACTGACTTCCAATCCTAAAATCTACAAACAGGTAGGAAGTGAATTCTCCGGTTTTGGGTCCAGTGGGGAAAAAAGTGAATGTTTTTTATGCACAGTTGAACAAAACAGATTTCTGCCGACATAATGGCATAAAAGACGTTGCTGCAGATATAATTGGCAAGCTGTGAGGAATGTATAAAAAAACAAAACAAAGGAGTAAAAAAAAAATCTGCACAGTTGGTATTTTCCTTCCTACACACACAGAACATGAGACATAAAGGAAAAAGTTCCTTTGCACTCTGGGAACCATACAAGTAATCTTCCTCAGTACGCCGCCTGTGTCATCGCTCATTATTAAGCTTTTAATTTTAATTGAAAGGCGTCTCAGCAGGGCTCTAAATGCTATATTAGCTTAAGTTACAAACCACTGGACAACAAAGAAGTTATTTCTCTGCGTTTGCTGTTTGGTGCAACGAGCCTCTGTTTCCTCGTCCCTCCGGAGAGCGTGGAAACCGTTTCAGCGCTCTGATGGCGAAAAGCATCTGAGCAAGCTGGCTGGAATGATAATAATCTAGAAGGTGTCTGCACCGATGGAGAATATCTGGAAACATGTCAGGCGTTTGCATCAAAGCTGCCGTTGTAATTTCTTTTCAAGGACGACTTGAAAGAGAAGTCGGGAAGAAAGTAGCGTTGGTTCCTTGTTTTCTCCTACGAGGCAGCTGCTTCAAAAGTAACCCCGCGCTTTCCGAGAAGGAGAGTGGGATGATTCAGCAGGAAGCTAAACCGCCCATCTGACGGATTCACATTTAAACATAAACAGAAATATGGCCGCTCCGGGGAGCTCTGCGGAGGAATGGAAATCAGCCCCGGATTTCACGGCCGCAAATCAAACGGCCTTTTATTTAACTCTTCCTCTCTGTTTCCCTTCTTTCTTTATGGCTCCCTGTAGCATCGTGTTCGCATTACGGCGCCTACTGATTGGCCTTATTTGAAGCACGTACCCCAGACAAAAAAAAAAAAAATCTGAGGTGATTTCTTTTTTTCATGTCACAAAGAATGGAATGTGGTTCTCCAGAAGAGGAGGGCCTGAGAGGATTATATGGCTCAGTGGGCGCTGTATTGTGGGGAGTGGATAGTGCAGGTACCCACCGAATCCCGGCCAAGAGACCAGAGCGGGGTTGCTAGGGATAATGCTGCCTCCCAGCAATTAAACTCCGGAGGTTTTGGAGTACTTAAGGAGGGAGCTTGTTAAATTATCTCATCTCTCCTTCTACCTGATCGTCTCTCTCTTTTAACCACTTTTCTCAGCATTTTTTTCTTACTGCTCCACTAAACCAAAACCTTGGTATTAAAAGGTAAAGGCCAGGGCCTTCACTGCTTTGCTGCTTGCACTTCATTTAAATCATAAATCAGATGCATGGATTGTAAGACTTCAATGCCAGTTCAGATCCACTCAAATGGAAAGGAAGTCTAGAAATGTGAAAAACCACCAGATGAAGACGCCTCTGAATTATTACCAACACAGATTACAGTAAAAGAAACTTCATGTCCTTACATTGAGATCTTGTTGGTTTTTAATTTTCTAGTATAATGGAAGCCCTGGAAATGAGTCAGAATATACACTAGTAGCCATTCAGAATTTCCCCACTTTCCTTATAGGCCCTTGCCTGGCCCTTGGCTGGTCCTTGGCTGGTCCTAGGCTGTTCCTAGGCTGTTCCTAGGCTGGCCCTTGGCTGGCCCTTGGCTGTTCCTTGGCTGGCCCTTGGCTGTTCCTAGGCTGTTCCTAGGCTGGCCCTTGGCTGTTCCTTTGCTGGCCCTTGGCTGTTCCTAGGCTGTTCCTAGGCTGGCCCTTGGCTGGCCCTTGGCTGTTCCTAGGCTGTTCCTAGGCTGTTCCTAGGCTGGTCCTAGGCTGTTCCTAGGCTGGTCCTAGGCTTTTCCTTGGCTGTTCCTTGGCTGTTCCTAGGCTGTTCCTAGGCTGTTCCTAGGCTGTTCCTTGGCTGTTCCTTGGCTGTTCCTAGGCTGTTCCTTGGCTGGCCCTAGGCTGTTCCTAGGCTGGCCCTTGGCTGGCCCTAGGCTGTTCCTAGGCTGGCCCTTGGCAGGCCCTTGGCTGTTCCTAGGCTGGCCCTTGGCAGGCCCTTGGCTGTTCCTTGGCTGGTCCTAGGCTGTTCCTTGGCTGTTCCTAGGCTGGTCCTTGGCTGGCCCTTGGCTGTTCCTAGGCTGTTCCTAGGCTGTTCTTAGGCTGGTCCTTGGCTGTTCCTTGGCTGGTCCTAGGCTGTTCCTTGGCTGTTCCTAGGCTGGTCCTTG